ATCAATCAATCAATCAATCAATCTATCTATCTATCTATCTATCTATCTATCTATCTATCTATCTATCTATCTATCTATCTATCTATCTATCTATCTATCTATCTATCTATCTATCTATCTATTTATTCTATTTATTTATTTATTTATACTGTAAAAATGCTGGATTATGCTGGATTGTTTTAACCCAAAACCCAATTTTGGGTCAAATATGGACAAACCCCGCCATTGGGTTACATTTTTAACCCAATGTTTGAGTTTGTCCATATTTTACCCAAAATTTGGATTTCTAGAGTCTATCTATCTCTCTATCTATCTATCCATCCATCCATCCATCCATCCATCCATCCATCCATCCATCCACCCACCCACCCACCCATCCATCCATCCATCCATCCATCGTCTTGGCTTTTCAAGTATAAAATCAGTTATGTTTATTATTTTTTTGTTTGTTTTTTTGTTTTTTCAGTGAAAAAATAAATCATTCGAATTACTATTAATCTTGTTTGCTATACCTCAATGAAAATTCAAATGTCTTGCAACAAATCCAGAAACTGAGCTACTGGATCTGTTCTTGATTTAAAAAAAAAAAAATGTTTAGCCTATTGCTTTGCACCAAGCTAGAGAGAAAAAACAAAACAAAACAGAAGTCTAAATTGATTTTAGAATGATGCAAAAGGTATCTGCTCTCCGAGAGTTTCATTTAACAGGACTTGAAGGAAACAGCTGGAGAAGTACGAGAGAAAAGGAAAGGGGAGACAGACAGGAAAGGATTTGGAAAGGCTTCACAGGTGAGGTGGGCTGAGGGACACCCTGTCTGTTCGGTCTCTCGTAGAAGAAGAAGGGCATGTTTATGCAGACGGAATCTCTCTCACATGACTCCCTCTGGCTTCAGCACTCAACATCACTCCACGAGCCTCAGAATCAGGTAGTGTGACCACAGAATTGGCCCAGAGGCATAGCTTTCATGAGAGAGGGTTACAACAGTGAAGCACACGCCATGGAGAGAAATCAGAGACTCTTGGATTTGGCAGCAAGGTCGCTCCGACAAACACATTCCAGTCTGAGACGGACATGTGACCCGAATCGGGTTGCTCTCGTCCCAACAACAAACAGTTTCACCATCTATCAAGGCAGGTAACCGTGACGCAGTTTGATTGTACAGGTTTGCGGTGGGGAAGCCAAATTCCAGGCTCTAGTACCTCTCCCTCCGCAAGATCACTCTTCAAACCATGATCCAATTTTTGCGAAGAACAAAGCGGTGGGCTTGCATCTTTTGTAGTAAAGCTTTTCCTGTGAATGAGGCCAGACAAAGCGTTCAAATGGAGAAAGCATTTCAAAACAGCGTTGCGGGAGAACTCTGTTAACGTATAAGATTTCTTTCTTCCGACGAAAATAACACTAGCTGTTTATAAAAAATATCAAATGTGAGAAACTCATTGGAATTCTTGTGAGAAGAATCATATAAAACACACCAACACACACAAAATAAGACTAAGCTAATTTAATCTAATTTACATTTAAATGAATCCTTTTTGTGGCCAATTATTCACATAATCTAGGAGTCTTACAACTCCACAGGAGGCCGAAATCCTTCATACTCAGTTGGTTCAAAGCCTCTAAATAAATTGGCAGCGAGAAACCAATAGCCGCTTCCATCGCATGGTCTGTGTTGTAATCCTAGTTTAGTCAACTCAATTGGAGTTGATGTGACAATTCTCCGAACATTTGTTTCTAATTTAAATCTGGTGTGTTTAATACATATCCTTAATGATGAAATTGGCAGAAATTGGTCTTTGGACTCACATTCTCATACATTCAATCAGCACCCATTCATTCCTAATCCACCCATGTCTATTCAACACCGCGATCCATTTCATGACTGCGTGGGGGGGAATGGGACGACACGCAGAGGGAGAAGACGGCGTGAGACCAATGCATCGGACATAATCACCTGCAAGCAAAGTCTCTAATTCCCACCATCTGGACCGCGGGGTCAGAGCCATGTCAGACCGCCCTGATGTCAAAAAGAGGGTCTCGTTTCAATTGTCCCGCCATTCCAGCACTCGTGACTTCTCCACAATAAACCATGTAGATTTCTGCTCATCAAACTTGCTGTTTATGTATTGAAAGACAAAAAAAGATCAGCAGTCTCAGTGAAGGACACTGACTCCCGGCCCATTCAGACGTCTGATTAGCATAGCACTCCTGCCGGATCAATAACCTCATTGACTCTGTCTCCTCTATCAGGAATGATGGTAGACTCTCTTTTGTAACTCTATTCTTGGGGAAACCGTCCATTCTCCATGAACTCTTGCTCTATTTTTCAAACAGCCTCGATTTGTTTCCTTCTGTCTCTCTGTCTTTGAGAATGCGAGTAAATAAAGCTGTCTAGATGCCACTGAGAAAGATTAGCATGTAGCTTTTCGCTTTATCCGGTTCTGAATGCCTGGAGAACAAAGGTGCCACCATCATTGCCAGAGTTAACTTTGCAAATCACTTCAAGAGAAACATGTCCACCAAGAAAAGCACGTACTCAAGCTCCAATTTGCTCACAGCAAGCAAGCCCTTTCCCAAACTTAACAGAAATATGGAAAGTTGGACCACCAAAAAAAAAAAAAAAAAAATCCTTCTTTCTAATTTGGAGACAAAACTCTGAAGCGAAGAGAGTTTAAGAAGACCAGAACTATGAAGTGAACCACTGATGGCCTAAACTTTTTTTCCCCATTCATCATAAAAAGACTTAAGTTAAAATATTCGATCAAAATGGGGGATTGACCAGTGACCTGATCCCAGGAGCGGTTCTGAGGGTTAATGGGGGATAAAGATTAGGAGGAACTGGGCTTCGCTTCATCTCCGTCCCCAACCACCTTCCCTTTCCAATCCCAAATCAGCCACACAATGAGACCTGCCAATGGAGACAGAGCTCAGTTTCCTTTGATATCCTTCCGAGCTTTCGGCTCCGAGTGTCCAGAGAAAAGCTCCATGGAGGTTGCTCTCAACTCCGGGGAGTGGAAGAGTTCTCTCTGAGCCATTTTAGATGGAAATGACAGGCACTCTACTAGAACAAGAAATCAATTTTCAAAGCGAAGAACGCACTAGGCCGTCCATCCGAAGAGTGAGCAACGCCATCCCTCGTCTTTAAACTCGGGTGAGATATGCTTAATTGCTGTAGATTTTATAATGTGTGCATTGGCGGTGTGAAGTTGGGCGGCAATTATACTTTCTCTTTTTTTACGCACTGATCAGAGGACTTCTGTTCCAGAACAGATATGCTTTAAGAGTTCATCTTTGAAGATTTAAGTGGATACTCGTCAAATTAAAAACTAACATTCAAATCTCTTTAAGGTGGGGAGAGAGGAGCTGGGTTTTGCTTAGCCTTGTGATGCAGTGACTTCTGGGGATTTCAGCCCCTGCCGTAAGCCAAGCCTCCCAACCTCTTCAGCATATGCAAACTTTAATCAGCCCTGCACCTCAAAGGCAAAGTAATGGCTTGGAATAGCCTCGCTGATGGATGCTTCTCTACAGAGTTGAGTTTGGATGCTGGACTCTGCTGAGTTTAGCAGTTCAGCAGCAAAGTGTGGGCTGTTATTGCTTGCTCAGTGTGATACTTTCTTAACTTCACATATTAATGCAAGAGTATTGACAGAATCCCATATCAACCCCATTTTTTTTCTTCTTTATGTTAAAGCAAAATATGCATTTTTTTTCTCAATGATGATCTGTAGACTAATTATTAAAGGGGCATTTCGCTCAAAAAATAAAATCGTCATAATTTACTCACCCTCAAGTCGTCCCAAACTCTTTTCCATATAGTTAAAATGAATGGGGATACATCATTAAATTTTCATGGATGCAGTCAAATAAAATGTAACTTAATCGCTTAAAATCTTTCAGCTCTCATTCGCACTTCTACAGTACATATTAAAACAAAGTTATTTTGATTATCAATGATTTTTGATTAAATGACTAAAATGTTTGTTGCAAAAAGCTATCATATGATTTTAAATCATCTTGGAATATGGCACATATGACAACTTTTATAATTTTTTTTGGTCCTCAAAAGCCCATATATTAGCTTTCATGAGTGGCAAGTACAATCTTTTTGTGTTACATGGAAAAAAGTAAGTCATATGGGTTTGGAACTGCATGAGGTTGAGTAAATGATTCATTAAAAGAAATCAAAATCAAACTTGATATTTTTTGTTAACCATCCCATTAGAGCAAAAAGTACAACTGCTAATATCAGGTCCATGAAAATTCAGTTACACTTTATTTTAAGGTGTCCGTGTCACAGTGTCATTATACATTTAATGACTGAGTAATAATAATGTACTTGTACTTACTATAGGGCTAGGGTTAGGTTTTGGTTTAAGGTTAGTTGTAATTGTAATTATGCCTAATTTATAGTCAATTCTACAGTAATTACATGTAACGTGTAACAAGGACTCTGTAAAATAAAGTGTTACCTAAATCTCTTGCTCAAATCATCAAACATGACCTAAACTCTGCATGACCTTGAATAGGTGCAAGTTTTTCCAATTTACCCTTCGCAACTGTAGCCGCTCGTCTGGCAATGTCTACATCGCTAATGACGACGACCACAACTTCCGTCACATAATCAGCAGATGGAGAGATTCTTTATGCGTATTTTCCACTTACTTGGTGACAAACCCATCATCAGAGCTTCAAGGGAGGGCCGGAGGGAGCCGGACAACACGCTTCAAACCTTTACCTGCTGTTTATACACCGCAATTGATTTATCTTCAACTTCCTTTAACATGAAACCCCACAACCGTCAAGAAACTAAGTGGACTCTCTCAACTATCATGATGCATCAAGAATCTTTAAGAGATCCCCGGACTCCTCATTATTAACGCTCCTCTCAGGATGTGGTTGATGGAATATATAATGGAAGTGATTTTTGAGAGGACATATCAATTATGGCTGAGACAGACAGACCGAACATGCAAATTAGCCCTTTAAAGATTGCTTTTACTCACCACTTTCGCCTTGGTTTTCAGAGTACTCCTGCTGCGCTATGAGCAATGGCCATACCAAGCCTCATCCTGACCGAAACAGAATAGGAAACATGTAAACATACATATAGGATGCATTTAAAATAAAAATATTAGCTTATTTGAATGCTATAAAAGGTGGCAAAACCACAAAAAAATGACAGTGTAAGCACGTTGTCAGTGATATTTAGGATAATGACAGTGTTTTTCATCTCCACAGCAAAATAATTACAACAAAGTCTGTCACGGTCCATCAATACGACAGGTCAATCAAATAACTGGATGTGGGCTCGTTTCACGTCAACGTGCCGCAGTCGCGTACGATCACGCACTCGTTTTTATCTCAGTTTCAAAGAGTGCGTCTGCCAAAAGATGAACGCGTTGACAGAAGTACAAGAGAAGCTGTGTTTTCCGATCTTACCCTGAGGGGAAACTTTCAGTTGATGTCCGTGTTTGTTTGGGAGAGGAGAGTCCAAGTATGAGAGAATCTGTCAAAAAAACAACAAAAGAAAAGGTACATTTTTCAATTGTGAATTTTTCGAGAGCACTTCCGATCCCTTCATCTGCATTTCAGACTGACGCGTATCACACTCACATAATAATATCAGAAATGAGGGGAAATGTTTTGCCCTCGAAACAGCTTGCCATGCCTGGCAGGTTAAAACTAACCGAGCATAAATCAAACTTTCCATCGAGGCTTCTGCCGCTTTTTTGCTGACACTCACAGATGTGTTCGACTAAATGAGCATGTGCAGCTCAGTTCACCTCATTAAAAAAACAAAAAAACTGCAAGTTGTAACATATTTCTTTTTTTTTAAGGGTACAGTTCACATGTGAAGCTACAGTATGATACACACACACCACATAAATCAGCCGAACGGCTTCAGATTCTCTCTGTCCCAAATTTCAGAAGACCCCTGTAGGCAACTAACAACTTCAGGATCCTGAGGAATGTGCTCCCTGAACTGTATGAAAAGAGGAGGGGGTTTGCTTAGGAGAGCATTTCTGCAAACACAAACCCGCCGCTATTTTAACCGCTTGTGTTTGAGGAGGTGTTACAAACTGAGATGGAGTGTTTGGAGGAAATAGCACAAACTGTCTATTAGCCCGAGTATTAAGATACACATCTTCTGCACTCAATTACATGTGCACGTATGTGGTGTTCGTAATCCTAGAAGTACGCTCGGTTAACAAGCACAAATAGTGTATGTTTAAGCTCACTAGCTCAGTCAACATTTGAATTAGAGATTTATTATCAAAATTAGATTTAAGACTGTGCTTTTCGCATGTGTAAATGTAGACAAACTTGAAAAAGCATATACAAAGCTCTGAATAATCATACTGAAAAAGCGTTAATGTCCCGTATATTTCAAACTTTTGGTTAATAACGCAATGTCTTTGGACTAGGGCTGCAAGATATAACGTTTTAGGATAGATATCATGATATGCGCATCAGTCACGTGTCAAGTATAGGGATCGCAGTTGATCCGTATGGATCGAAATGCATGTGATTCTCAGATTAATTGCAAAGTTGAACCATTACAGAGCGAAAGCTTATCGTTTGCACATGTTTTAGCCTAGGTGCTGTCAGTCTAAACATTCAAGTGATTTTACTAGAGCCAGACCGATATATCGGCCGGCCAATATTATCGGCCGATATGGCATTTTCCATAATATCGGTATCGGCAGTTATAAATGGGCGATAAATTAATATTTAAAAAAAAAAAAAAAACGGACGAAACACGCTTTAATCATCTCTCCTTGGCCTGTTATATTGAAAATTTATGTTTTGCAATTTGCAGTATGATGTTATCTATTGCTAAATTATGGCTCATCATAGACTAGCTAACCACAAAGCTACACTCTAAAAAATGCTGGGTTGTTTTAACCCAACTTTGGGTCAAATATGGACTAACCCAGCCGTTGGGTTAAATTTTTACATTACATTTTTAACCCAACATTTCGGGTTTGTCCATATTTCACCCAAAATTGGGTTAAAACAACCCAGCATTTTTTAGAGTGTAGCTAATGCCACTATCATCAGTTGGAAGACCGCTAACGTTAACATTAATGAGCTTGGAAACCACAATTAACTTTTTCTGCCTAAATAAAGTAATTATTACAGTATTTATAACTAGCATATCTCTAGTTACAGTCCCTGCATTGTAAAATGTAAGTTATACTTGCGAGGAGTGAACATTTAGACATAGATAAAAAGTATCAAACGTATATTGTGCAGAAAAGTTAGCTTTTCTTTTACACGTGTGTGAAATCCAACAATGTTTAATAAAAAAAAAAAAATATCGGCCGATATATCGGAATATCGGATTTTAAAACCCAAAAATATTTGTATCGTATCGGCCTTCAGAATCCTTTATCGGTCGGCCTCTAGATTTTACTCAATTCAAGTGATTTTACTCAACTCAATTCGGACACCGAGTTACATTCTCTTCCGCATCTGTTTGTGCTTGAATGACACATACACGCAAAATTATATCAAAAATGTCTAGGTGAGTATCCTCAAAAACGCGTATGGCTTACGTGAACGCGAACAGTTGAGAAAGAAAACGGATGCATATCACTATATTGGATCCTTGCATTCGGTCTTAAAGTGACAGCAGCCTAATATTCCTGCTGCTCTCCATCTCATTAATGTTAATCAAACAACAAAATACACAGAGAAAATGCCTTTTGTAGCTTTATCAATGATTAATTCTATTTAAATTATAAAGTGAAGACTAAGCAGTGCTATTTTACATTTGATTATTCCATTTAATATCTTATTTTCCATGAAGATTCAATCCCCTAAAAAATCACCCGATCATTCTAGAATGATTCATTCTTTCCAAGTAAAGCTATTTGGTGAAATTGTTTTCATATCACAACATATTGCGGCAATACAAAATATCGCAATGGCAGTTTTTCGCAATATTGTGCAGCCTGATAAAACTCGCCTTTAAATCGACTTACCGATGTTATTAGTTCATATGACCTCATTGTGACAAGTTTCCACAATACCGGACCCGTTTCAATTCGAGATCTCTAAATACTTAGACACACACACACACACACACACATTGCATTAGCGCAGGTCGTCCTAATGTCACCGTCTGATATTTACATGAAGCCTGGCGTTCGAGTCGAGATAAACTATTTCAAATCAAGGCCGAGAATACCTCTCCGGCCCCTCCGCTGGATGTGCGGATGAAAGAAGACATTATGCAAACAAGTCAGATTACAGTACACAATAAATTTTTACCTTTTCATGTAAATACCATTCCTGTGTTAGGAGGTGGAAGCCAACGCAATACATTTTGACTGAGGGCCGAACGGCCCTTATCAGCTCTAGTCAAGCAATTCAGGCCCCCTGAACAAAGATGAGTCTTCAAACTCCCTCCATTCATCAGTGGACGTGTAATTACCCCCGGTTCACAGTCTAGACGTTACCGCTTTCAGGGTATTTAAGATCCCCTTTGCAACACGCAGGATGCTTGCACCCGGCCCAACGTTAAATCTGCCGCAGATAAATTAGCAAAGAATGCGAGTTAAAAAAAAGAAGCGCGGCCACAATGAAAAGAACTTTATCCTCCCCGCTGCTAAATGAGATTTCTTTGAAATGCAGATCAGTGGCGCTAGATTAGTGAATTTTAGCTGCTGTCAACATCATAACAAAATACAAATGCGATTGTTCGCCTGGGCCTTATCTCCTTGCTTCCATCTGCTTCTTCCCGTATTTACTCGGGTCGATTTACTATGCAGATCTAAATAAGACGCGCTCGCGGCACAATGGCTTCTTAAGCTTCTACATCAAGGTATTTGAGAGCGCCGTCACATGAAAAGCTGCCCCATCAAAGGCACATCCCTAATGAACTTCCCTATCACAGAGGGATGGCGCGGCTCTCCGGAGAGGCTCGTGGAGAGGCGCTAAATCACAGGAAGGATACCTCGGCGGCCCGCGGAGATTAACACACGACGGGGACCCTCAAACAGGAGGCCGTCCGAGCCCAAGCTAGGGCGGCTCGCGGTTCAACGGTAGATTAGCGGCCAAATTAAAACACCCAGGTAGGGGAAAAACAGCGTGCACTTGGAGGTAAGATGGACGTTTGTAACTAATACAAGCGGCGGCGTTCGCCACAACGATGACAGTAATCTTCAAAAGCAGAGGAATAACCTCTAATTTCACGCCATATTTGTTGCATCCTGCGTACACAGATGGGATTACAACTCAAATCCCACAACTTACTCACAAAAAGCACCGAGAGGGAGCATATATATGGGTGCAAAGAGACATTTCAGGTTAAAATCGTCATGCACCAGTGGTTTATGGAGGGGGGCTGGAGCAATTAGCCCCAGAGGCAGCGCACACACGAGACCGGCACATGTGGCTTGGAGTCGAGCTCTGACATCACGGCATGATGAGAGGGCAATGGGAATACGGTGGTGGTGGGGGTTGAACGAGAGCGTGTGCCAGCCACGCGTGTGCCAGGTTCCAACTTCCGCTTCATACCAGGGGGGGGTTAGGTCCTTTCGGAAAACATCCTCACACGGAAGAGGCATCCAACGGCCGCAAGTGTCTTTTGCTCATCTTTCCCTCCTCCCCTCGCTGTCTTCACCCTGCCAAGTGGGCTCGGTGCCAGTCGCATTTGCAACCACGAGGGACCGTTGCCTTTTTTTCTTGTTTAATGAAATGACAAAACAACAGATTTACATATGCAGAAACAGGTGTTGTAACAGGTTTGACTCCTCTTGACCTAAAACGTGTTGCGTGGGGGGAAAACGGGGGGGAAAAAACAGGGAGGGGAAAGTTTATTAGCAACAGCTGCCTGGAGGGTGTTTAGGCTCTGATGGGCATTCAAATCTACACCATCTGCCCTGCTGGTTGCCAGAAGTGACAATCTAAATTAAAAACCACTCATCAAAAATCATAAAAAATAAACTATTGTATTGCTGTGGCCATATGCTGTAAGTGGCCCTATGAAAGACAAAAAGGGAATCACACGGTGTATATTAATTAACCCTCTGCGGTCTAAAAGACATTCCTGAGCACTACACCAAAAACAATAGCTTGCTTTCCATCCACGAACACACACTAATACTCATATTTACACTTCACAAAGGATGCTTTCAATATTCATAGTGCTATTAAATTGGGCTACATATGATTGTTAGATACAATTAGCCTAGAGTATAATTGTAAAATCTCACGGAAACTACTGTGAAAGTACCATGGCATAGTGATGGGACCGGTATTTTGATGGTACAAAATAATTAAAATATTCGTAATTCACAAACAGGCAAAGTAATATCAATAATAATAATAAAATCTATTCCATCTGCATTAACCCTAATTAAAAAAAAGCTGTATCATACTTTGATATGTACTAGGCACTGCATGATTACCAGGTTTATGATGCATAGGCCTATAGGCTAAGATTAAAAGTAATAATCCTTACAATAAATGTGGTGGTGACATGGTAAAGACGGCGATCCCATGATGTATTTACTGAATGATTACCATAATCATGTCTCATACATAGTGTAAATTTGTCAATATTAAATCAATATTAATAAAATGTTAATGGGTTTACATATGCCACTCAAAGTTACCTTGAAGAATACCATGGTATATGTCCACAAGCCAATATCACGGGTCCAAATACATTGGGCTGTAAAACGATTCGCGATTAATCGCATCCAAAATAAAAGTTTGTATTTACATAATATATGTGGGTGCACTGTGTATAATTATTTTGTATATATAAACACACACACACATGCATGTATATTTAAGAAAAAAAATATTATTTATATATAAAATATTTATATTTATATATAATATAAATCTATATACAGTATACATGAAAATATTTCTTAAATGTATACAGTGTGTGTATTTATATATATACAAAATAATTATACACAGTGCACCCACATATATTATGTAAATACAAACTTTTATTTTGGATGCGATTAATCGCGATTAATCGTCCAAAAAAGCATAATTAATGTCCAAAAGTTCACAAATTAAAACACAGCAGCAATCAGGCACTCCTTTAAAACAATAGAGAAACATGAAGGTCAAACTCAAACACGACAGCTCAGTAACTCAACAACAACATGAAGAGAAACTGAGAAAACAACAATTCGGGCCAAAGAGTCAATCTAAAAATATTCGCTCTGCCCTTGTCAAAGACAAAGGGAGCATTAATTTGCCCTGTTATTATTTAGAGAGGGCAGGAGGAACAAACCTGAGCCCGTCGTGACCCTGCCACAGTGTTGCAACTTGTTTTAGAGCGATGCCAGCAGAAGGCAGTACCATATGCCCACAGCCTCGGGCCCGATGCTCTTTCTGCAGCCTAATACGCCTGTCAGGAGACGTTACTGTCACAAATCCTCTGTTTTTCCATAACAATTTCAAATAAACAGGTTTTTTTTTCTCTTACTAACAGAATTGTCCTCAGAGATCCCAGTTAGAAGGTCAGAGTTTGATTCTACTGTAATGACAGCAACCCATGTATGGGTTATATACAAACAAACCAATTTTTTTTTTTTAAGTGACCAAATAATTTGTGGAAAAGCACTTATTTAATTAATGAAAGTAGGCTGAATTTCAGCAATGATGCTGTAAGCGTGACATTAATAGTATCACATAGACTAGCATTATGTCTACTTCCACACTCCCTCCTCAGACCACAGGCAAGTTTGGTCTGACCTTGCCGTTTACTACAAATGAAGCCCTCTTGCATCCACAACCACTGGGGTTTTAAGTCAACCAGAGACTAAAGCGCTCAGTAAATCATCAACAAGACCCTGTCATGCCTTCAAATTGACAAAAAAACAGATATCAGCACTGATATTATCACCTTTGCGTACAAGTAATAATTTCAAGGGCATGTGTACTCTAAGATAAGATGCTTATGGGTGATTTTAATACCTCTCCATAAAGGTCATGTGATATCGTAGATGTGAAAGAGCGCCGTCACAGTCAAAAGACTAGAGTTAGGGATTATATGGCATGTTTAAGGGAAAGAAAAAATGCAATCGAAAGAGCGACGCAACCTCAAATGCAGACGAATCAGTTCCCTTTAGACATTTTTAACCCATAGAATAAGCATACACTGTATGTAATATTAAAAAAAAAGCATTTCTCATGACCGTGCCCGTGCTCTCAGCGCCTTAGTTACTGAATCACACCAACCGTCATTAGGATGATGTGGATAATTATGGCGCATAAGACCTCTTAAGCATGTAATACAGTCTTTTATCTGGAGAAGTCAATCTCTGCGAGGCTGACAGCTAGAAGCATATGATCACGGTAAACAAATACTTTCACGCGGCACCAAAGTGCCATTAAAGGCCAGAACTGTCAACACAAATTCCACTCTTGCGAGGGAAAGGAAAGGAAAGGGAGGGGGGAGAAGAAAAAAAAAAAGAGTTGATCACCTCTGGTTGCCTTAACATGCATGGGGGTTGTCATGGAAACATTTCTGTGAAGTTAACATGGATACAAACAGAAGGCTTTCCAGCTTAATTGCCATTAGAGTTTTATGACCCTGTTTAGAGATGTGTATTAAAACACACATGGGGTAATACGTCGCTTATCACCGAAACGTAAAGGAAAAATAGGCTTTGACTTTCTAAACAGCAGAATATGTAGAATATACACTGTAAAAAAATATTTTTTTTAACATTACTTAAACTATTGATATAGTTCAGATAACATAATATTTTGAGTTTCTGACCTCCTTCATTGTATTAACTCAATTTTCCATTTCAATGAACTTCAAATTTTAAGGCAGCCAGGTTTACTTGTTTTACAGTGTAGGAAGAGGGCAGGATGCAATATGAAATAACTAGTGATTTCAAACTAAATGGTTCCACCCACATTACAGTACGTATAAAGGCGTAACCTACGAAAAGTCAAATCATGCACAATGCCATCTTAACCCAGCCAGATCTTTTTATTTTACTCAATGCACATGCATTTTTCTTTTAACGCAAAGCAGTGCATGCACACACCCCAGCCGTAATCAGCCCGTGCCTACAAAAACATCAGGATAATTGCAATATCGGCCCCTCTTTCCTGTCTCAGGTCAGCCGTCCCCCCCTCCCTTCACATGTCGTACGTGAAACATCACGCTCACTGAAACAGTGCTAATTAAAATCACCTGGGAAGAACTGCGTGGGGCTAACAAAGGGCCGGGCTTCACATTACAGGAGCTGCCGAGGTGTGTGTGTGTGTGTGTGTTTGCTTGAAATTTTACTACTGCTATTACAGCCTTTTTGAAGCGACACAGCGTTGAGTGACGAAACACCATGATGCACACCTGCACTTCACCTGCACAGCTGCTGGAGCGAAACAGAGGAAAACTCTCAGAGTTAATCACAGCCATGATACGAGCTGTAATACTACACACCTTGTTAAAAAAAAAAAAAGTCCCAGCACCCTTGAACCCACTGAAACTGCACTGGCAGTGGATGTGACTGTGTCTTAAGAGAGGAGTGCTGTCCATTAACACTCCAATACATCAGGCTTACTGTCCTGACACTCCAAAGCTGAAGAATTCACTCCGGATCATGGAAATGGAGCAAGCAGCCACGGTAAGATTAATGTTAACCTTGATGATGATTATAATAATGATAATAATATAAATTATAATAAATTACATTAGTAAATGTCACTTTTAGACAATCTAAAATGTTATATCTCATGGAAAATCACAAAGTTAAAACACAGACTAAAACTAAATAATCGTTTAGGCAACGTAATCAGTGTATTTATAAAAAAAAAAAACTGATTTATTTTTTTTATAAAAACTATAAACCTATTAAACAGTCTTAATCACTTAAAATTATTATAGAAACAGTAAATGTAGTGATACGGGTGTAATAATAGATAATTTCTGAATATTTACATTTACTAAATGCATAAGCTAAAATCATTCATTTGTAAACGGACAATTATGCTGCTGTTATTATTATTTTCAAATAAATAAACTAATGTAAGCTACGTTTACATTTCACTCAGGTTGTTTTAAAACTACAAACAGCAATAAACATAACGAAAGTTGATGAGCATTAAAAGGCGATAATGCCACAAAACTGTCACTGGATGTTTATTGATTATGAGGATAGAATCACAGTACTGACTTCTCACAAACTCTCTAACAACACAAACACTTTCTAAAGCATCCGACAAGCACTAAACAACCCATCAAGTGAAGTCAAACTGAGAAGGTCAGTGTATGAAAGGCAAAAACGTGAAAACTCACCAAAATAAGTGAATGTATGTCCCTCGCGGATGCAAAGTTTCTCGTGTTTACAAGTCAGTGGTTTTAAAAAAGCGCTACAAACAAACGCACAGCACGCGCTGTTGATATTCCTCCGCTCGGAGCCGCGAGACGCTGCTTGTCTTCAGTCAGTGTGTGCTGCTGTTATTACCGACGCAACAGTATAAAAAACGCGCGAGTAACACCGACTCCTGTTTGAATGCGCTCGCGTGACGCGCAACGCGAAGCGGCAGCTTGTTTTTTTGTATCTCGATTCAATGCATCGCAATGTTTCGGCCGAGTTTTTTGAGGGGGGACTAGCTTATTAGAATGCGAGGGGGCACTTATGCGGACGTACATGTTGTTATTTTTCGGCGTACTGCGACCCCACGTGACACATGTCCACCTGCCGCGTAAACAATACAGTCATTAGAAGTTTGTTTTGTTTTTCGAGTCACTAATCACAAATCAGAAGAAACCATGATCAATAAAGAGATTAATATAGTGTGAGGAGTGAATATGAAGTGCTGTCATTTATTTTGTTTACTAATTTATTTAGGCTATATTATTGTTATTATTGTCACAATTTTGATTACGGTCCAGTTTTTACTTTTACCCAAATTTTAACTACTCGTAATTACTGCTTATTAATAATTAGTAATGCAGTTTTTATGTTTAGGTAATGGGTTTAAGGGAACATGGTCTTGCAGAATAAGTGCTAATAAACAGCCAATATCCTAATATGCATGATAATAAGCAACTAGATCATAGCAAGAATTGGATAATAATGTTACACTTATTAATATCAAAATGTGTTGTCCATATTCGTTTATGTTTGTGATTAAATAAAATTAATATTGTATTATGTATTGCACATTAATAAAAAATAAGCAAACAAACAAAGTCTTCAAAAGTGTAATGTATGGAGATTAAGTCTATATAATTCTGAGCAATGAGCAGAACAAAAGAACAGAGCATTATTGTTTTTTGCTTATTTTATTAAACAATTTTTATATCATTGCACATGAAATTTATCTTAACAGTTCACACACCCCTGAACCTTGAGATGATCCATTGTAGATCGACAGCATCTGTTCGTTTTGATGAGATATTGTTTATTTGAGTGATGAACTGCTGGTTTTCAAATCATTTTTGCTTGTGACCATTTATATCCTTAAGATGAGAATGATGCACATATACTGTAATGTTACGTTCTGCATCACTTGTGTACTGTGTGCCACTGCCTTGCAATATTCATATGAATAAAACTGGATAAAAAATAAAAGATTTTCAGATTAAAGATTAAAGATTGATAATATCAGATATCTCTCTTTGTGAATTAATAATCTGTCTCTGTCTGAATTTAATATCTTCATTCTATATTTTGGTTGAAAACACTGGGTGTTTTAAAAAAGGGATCTTAGTACATATTAGATGGCTGGTGATATTTGCATAACATCAAAATAAGTTTGATCAAATGCATGTTTAAATAAGCAGGCGATACAGCAGATTTTGACCTGGTTTTATGAGTGCATTTTAACACTATAAAATCACAAATAACAAAAATCTGTCAGATGTCTGCAAAGGTGTTAAGGATTTTTTTGTTTGTTTTTTTCAATGATCAGAGAATTTTGGATCCCACATTCATGCCATTTAAAAAAAAAAAACGTTTAATCAAGAAAATGCAGATATTTCATGGCTTTTATCACAAAGAAATCAAAAACACCAATGTATTTTCTATATAAAATTTTATAGAGGGGAATCATTTTGATAAAAACTCTAGGATAGCACAAAACATAAGAGTTTGCTGCCACCTACTGGAATGCTTTGGAATCCACATTTGATTGTCAATGAAACGCGAGTGTGCACAGAACTTTGATTAGACACTGCCACCTAGTGGCCAATTGAGTTCATGCTCGAAAACACTGAATACAAATGGCCAGCAGCACATTTTTGGAATTCACAACACACAAGGATTTCATCATTGATTAAATAATTATAAAATCCCATAAATAAAATCCACCCAAAAAGTAAGCATGATTTTATAAAAAAAATAATAATGAAGCAACACACACACAAACAAGTGAACAAGTATATAAACAAGTATATATATATATATATATATATATATATATATATATATCATTCATGAATTGAATCATGACAACTTGCCCCCTGACATATTATCATTATAATATCTGAACATAATTAAATAACAGTGCAGTTTTATTGATTTCACTTGTTTATCCAACATATATAAATAAAATTTCACACTCTTAAAAATGCTGGGTTGTTTTAACCCAATTTTGGGTAAAATATGGACAAACCCAGGCATTGGGTTACATTTTTAAATTACATTTTTAACCCAATGGCTGGCTTTGTCCATATTTGACCCAAAATTGTCTTAAAACAACCCAGCATTTTTTTAGAGTGCGCCATTGCACCAAATATCAGTTTGTTTGGATGACAGAATTCACAAAAAAAAAAAAAAAAAAAAATGTCTCAACTATAATTTCTATGAGTTTTATCTACGTGTTTGATAGCATTTACCGAAGCTATCTCCAGGTTCAGCAGAGTTCAGCAGATGACATGGACACATCAAAGTGTGTCACGTCAACCAGACTCTAGTGACCAGGAAGACAAGCATAGTTCACAGCTATTTTTAAGCCTGGCAACCACACAATGTTCAGCTGCAACTTGATGCTGTGTGCCAAGTCACGTTGCGAGTGAGTCTTTCAGGCGGTTAGTGCTGTTACCCAGTCAGCATTACCCAGGCATGTCTGTGGAAGAGCTTGCACCCTCCACGGTCTCCTACAACATGGACATCTGCAGGGACTGGATGATGAAAAACAAAGAGGAAATCATCAAATTAGAGAAAACCGTGGAGCGGATTTCAGATGGAAGCTCTGCAGAGGAATCGGAGGAGGAACCCGAGCCCCCACCGGTAGCCGCGCGAAGAAAGGTGTCGTTTGCGGATGCCTTTGGTCTAGACCTGGTTTCTGTGAAGGAATACGATAACCGGGATGTATCAAGGCCGGAGGTGGACGGTATAGAGGGTGATGAATACTACATCTCATGCCTCTTCACCCTCCCAGTCTTAAACGGGGACATGGAAGTGAGACTTCAGAAGCAGAAGCTGGAGCTGGAGCGCATCGAGCTTCTCCCTGGATCCACCACGATCCGGGGCATCGTCCGCGTTCTTAACCTCTGCTTCCACAAGGCCGTCTACATCCGAGTCACGCTGGACGGCTGGCAGAGCCACTCCGAGCTGCTGGCCGAGTACGTGCCCGGGTCTAGCAATGGAGAGACGGACTGCTTCTCTTTCCTGCTCGTGTTGACGCCTCCGTTCCAGGTCGAAGGGGTTCGGGTGGAGTTCTGTCTGCGCTACGAGAGCGACGTCGGAACTTTCTGGGACAACAATGGAGGGACGAACTACATCGTCTTCTGCCACCAAAGACGAAGGAGTGATCAGAGAGAAAAAGAGAAAGAAAGTGAAAGGGAGAAGTTAGTCGAGGAGAGTAACCAGAAAAGCATCAGGAGCTGCCTTAAAGCAATCAGGTAGGAAACACTGTCACTAGAATCATCACTTTTACTCATCCGTACAGTCAGGATTTGAACACAGAGCTTATTGGAAGTATTAAACTTTGGTGTGAGACTCACCCCGGACATGAATGACAGCTAAAATCATGCAGATTACTGACGAGTTCAAGAGACTATTATATGGATGTAGATGGTGAAACTATCCAAGAAAAAAACCCCAGACGTATTACTCTGGTTGTCCAATCAAGCGCAGAACTTTGTTTTGACTGGAGATGGTATGTTTAAACACATGGCTGGGGTGTGTAATTGAAAACCTGCCGTATATTTACAGTAAAAAGATCTACATAGAGACGACACCCGCAGAGGCGAGCGGGGGGATCTCAGGTGGGTTTCTTATGTGGAAATCTGGAAATAGGGTCCTTTGATTCTTCATGAGACTGAGTTTGAGTTTGTTTTCTTTTCCAGAGCAAGACAGACCGAAAACGGAGGAGGAAGCAGGAATCACTCCCTACAAATCCATTAAGGACTGCTGCAAAACCCTGGTATTGTCAATGAGTGTCCTGTCAAGGTTTAGAGACAAAGAAGTGCATTTAGTGAAGTGAAGTGAAGAGAGAAGAAGAGAAGTGAAGTAATGTGAAGTGAAGAGAAGTGAAGTAAGGTGAAGTGAACAGAAGTGAAGTGAAGTAAGGTGAAGTGAAAGTGAAGTGAAGAGAGAGAAGTGAAGTGACGTGAAGTGAAGTGAAGAAGAGTGAAGTTAGGTGAAGAGAAGAGAAGACAAGAGAAGTGAAGTGAAGAAAAGAGAAGAGAAGTAAGGTGAAGTGAAGTGAAGAGAAGAGAAGACAAGAGAAGTGAAGTGAAGAGAAGAGAAGACAAGACAAGAGAGAGAGAAAGAGAAGTGAAGAGAAAGAAGAGAAGTGAAGTGAAGTGAAGAGAAGAGAAAAGAGAAGTGAAGAGAAAAGAAGTGAAGTGAAGTAAGGTGAAGAGAAGTGAAGTGAAGTGAAAGAGAAGAGAAGAGAAGTGAAGAGAAGTGACGAGAATTGAAGAGGAGTGAAGTGAAGAGAAGTGAAGTGTAGTGAAAAGAAGAGAAGTGAAGTAAGGTGAAGAGAAGTGAAGAGAAGAGAAGTGAAGTGAAGTAAGGTGAAGAGAAGTGAAGTGAAGTAAGGTGAAGAGAAGTGAAGAGAATTGAAGAGAAGAGAAGTGAAGTGAAGTGAAGAAAAGTGAAGTGTAGTGAAAAGAAGAGAAGTGAAGTGAAGAGAAGAGAAGTGAAGTGAAGTGAAGTAAGGTGAAGAGAAGTGAAGTAAGGTGAAGAGAAGTGAAGTAAGGTGAAGAGAAGTGAAGTGAAGTGAAGTAAGGTGAAGTGAAGTGAAGTAAGGTGAAGAGAAGTGAAGAGAATTGAAAAGAAGAGAAGTGAAGTGAAGTGAAGTGAAGAGAAGTGAAGTGTAGTGAAAAGAAGAGAAGTGAAGTGAAGAGAAGTGAAGTGAAGTAAGGTGAAGAGAAGTGAAGTGAATTAAGGTGAAGAGAAGTGAAGTGAATTAAGGTGAAGAGAAGTGAAGTGAAGTAAGGTGAAGAGAATTGAAGAGAATTGAAGAGAAGTGAAGTAAAGTGTGGGGGGGGGAAGTACACCAATTTGTGAACTACAAATTATTAGTCAGGATAAATGTAAATAAATGAACACCATTTTGCAAGAAATTAAATTCCTCTCATTACAAACAAGACGTGATAAAGTAATGATAAACATTTTCTCCACGTTGTCTCTTTTTTTGACAGGCGGATCGTCGCAGGAAACGTCAAGCTGCTCGTTTGGCACACGTGCAAGACTACTTCGCTCAGAAAGCAATAGAAACCCAGAATAGATGTAATTCCAACACAAATGAAAGAAGGCTTGGTATGCCCAGTAGAACTGACCTGCCGGTTCTCCACAGCCGACAAGGACACGGTATGGACACGCCACCTATACTAACGTACCACCAGATCCCTTTACTTTCTCTGGATTGGGGCAGCACAACAACGACAACAACCACCCCTCCCGATGCCTACAGTCAAACAAGCTGGCAAGTTGAAGATCACCTCGCAAAATCCACTTTTCTTAACAGCACTGACACAACACACACTCATATACAGGAACAAACATGTGCTCCAGAGACACTTTGCCAATCAGAAGATGTAGATTCAAGGGATAAAGTCGTAATTTCATTGGAGGACAAGGGATCTGAGAAAGGCAACAACCATGGATCTGGTGACATGACAGCAATGGAAATTGTAAGATGTGATCCGACAGAGCAATCAGAAGGTCCTTCTGGAGATCAGGTTTTGGGTTACCAGCCAAGGCTCATTAGAGTAGCATGTTCTGCTCTGGGATCGGAGCCAGAGAGGGCGGGAAGAGAGTTTGAGGCATCTCGTGACCGCCAAACCTCACATCACGAGCACACAAGGGGATCTTTGAGTCAGGACACGACCAAGGCCAGCTCGGGGGACGAAACTCGAACCGCACACGACACCGACACTCAGAATTCAGAAGCCGGAGATGGAATCTCACCTGAAGAATTCACAGGCAGCTTCGACACCTCAAAGGTTAAAGAAAACACACACAGAGCGGTCAAAGACACCCTGACATTTACGCCTATCGGGGACGTGTCGCTCACAAATAGACAGGCCGAGAGATCTTCTTCAGAAAGGGAAGATATAAATAAAGATGATAGCGAAGAGCAGGTGGAAATCAGAGAGTTTTATAGAGGAGTACATGAAGAGGAGACGGAAAGCAGCGCAAAAGGACGAGATGAAACAACCACGGATCACAGCGCAGAAATACAGAGCGTTAATGAGAGCGATTTATGCATGTCGAACGAGAATCTAGAGCTACTGAAAATCGAAGAGCGAAGGTTTGAGGCAAACGAAGGACTTGAGACGACTGCTGAAGAAGGGGAAAGCGCTGGGAAACGTTCAGAAAGCAAACGAGAGCTTGTGGAGGAGAAAGAGTTTGAGTTACTCGAGGCGAACTATCCAGCAGTTAGCACTGACCCGTCCAAACACCTCCTTCACACAACATCGGCAAAGAAAGGTGAGGTTACTTCTCCAGATGAGGACTTTGAGCTTGGAAAGACTCTCAGAAACTTTCAAGAACCCCAGCGACCCAAACGAGAGGGTGAACACCGCACGCCGTTACCCAGCATGCACCTGTCCTGGGTGGACGGCAGCAGTGGGATGTTGTCATGGTGGAGGGAGTTCTGCTCCATAGGTCACATGACCAAGGCTCTTGTGTATGCTATTCTGTTTGTGATCTTCATAACGGCGTATCTGTACGACCTGCCGACCTGGCTTGGACTGTCGGTTTTCTCTGTGCTGGTTGTGCAGCCAGGGCATGAAACAGCGTCTGGATGGGGCTGTTGATCAGGCAAGGAATTTCTTGTCAAATGATGTGTGTTTCTTAAACGAGAAGTGACGTGAAGTGATGCTACGGGCCAAGCTTTGTTTTTCATATCCTTAAAAAGTCCTTAAAAGAAGGAGTAGTTCACTTAAAAAAAAAAAAAAAAACGTTTGCTGATAATTTACTCACCCCCATGTCATCCAAGATGTTCATGTCTTTCTTTCTTCAGTCAAAAAGAAATTAAGGCTTTTGATGAAAACATTCCAGCATTTTTCTCCTTCAAAGCGAACCAAGCGGTTCAAGGTCCAAAAGACAGTTTCAGTGCAAACTGCAAACTGTTCAAAGGGCTTTAAATGATTCCAGACTATGAATAAGGGTCTTATCAAGCGAAACGATCACTCATTTAAAAAAAAATAAAACAAAGTTTAAGTTTTATAAGCTCAAATGGTCACCTTGCTCTGTTCTGTGATGCGCGTTTATCAAAATGAATGAATCTTTTTTCTTGTCATTTTGGTTCATTCAACGAACGAAATGAACGAGTTGACTCTGGAAAAGATTCGTTCATTTTGATGAACGAGTTCGAACAGGAGAACATCACAGAACAGAGCAAGGTGAGCATTTGTGCTTATAAAACTTAAACTTTTTTATTTATTTATTAAATAAGTGACCTTTTTGCTTGATAAGACCCTTATTCATCATCTGGAATCGTTTAAAGTCCTTTGAACAGTTTGTAGTTTGCACTGAAAGTGGAACGTTTGGATGCCATTGAAGTCCACTATATGAAGAAAAATCCTGGAATGTTTTCATCAAAAACCTTAATTTCTTTTCGACTGAAGAAAGAAAGACATGGACATCTTGGATGACATGGGGGTGAGTAAATTATCAGCAAACGTTTTTTTTTTTTTTTTTTTAAGTGAACTACTCCTTTAAGCTACTTGACAAGAAACAGCACACGGAGATATGAGGACTTGTTTTGATTTCCATATGTTGTATCTTGTGTAAGTGTAAAAAAAGATAAGACAACAACAACAAAAAAACACTCATTTAATGTCTCATAATGCCTCATGTTGCTTCTCAGATTGATCTTGTTTCAAGGATTTTAGATATTTCAGAATTAAAATTACATAACAATAATAATTACACATTCATTTAAATTGCACTAAATATTTTTGTAAAAACAAAAAAACGTATTCCAAAATTAATTTAAAATACGGTTATTTCAAGTACAAAAACATTTACTGACCTATATCGCTTGAGACTTACTGATTTAAATATTACAATTAAACTTTATTTGGAGTACTTCTTTTTTGCACAATGCACATTTGTATATATTAGGCCTTTTAATAAGGATAATATGATCTCTGTATAATATCACTCTTTAAATGCGAGATATTTAAAGTTTACCAGATACACTAGCAATAAGTTCCACTTTTGCTATAATCAAATGTACTTAAGTATATCTTTAGTTGGACCTCAGCACTATTTCTGAACAACTAAAGTACAAAATTAGTTGTTCCAATTAGGAAAACTTAATGTATATCAATTTAGTATACCAGCAGTACAATTACAGGGTATTTATAATAAGTACATACATGATATGTATTTGTATTATACTTAGCATAAAACACATGTATTTAAAATACATTTATTTTTCACTAGGGTAAGCAGAGTTTATAATTGTACACAAAATGTTAACAATTTCAAGTGTCTGGATCATGAGGAACATATACTTAGTTTTGCGTATCCAAAATTGTGACTGGTACTGTACCTTTATGAAATGTTTCACTGGGGTTATACAAAGGCGTATCAAATGCACTATATAGCCCGTGAGGACATAGAGGGCATTTCATGTCTCTTTAGGGATGTGTGTGACAGACGTGACATTTCCTACAAATCCCACAATGTCTCTGTTCCCATCAGTCAGGAGAGAGTATGAGACAGAGACTAAAAAAGGGACATGGTTTCTAGACCCTCTGATCTGTGAACATAGCTAATTCATACACACCAGTTAAAGGCATACTTTATGGATAAGTGATTTACACACCCTTATGTCAGAACACAAAATTAGTTTCCGATGCAATTACAATGAATGGATACTCAATCTTTAAAACACCAGTATCATAAAAGTAGTTCATATGTGAAAAAGGCAAAATCTAATAAGAGTAGTTTACATACACGCATGGTGTGTTGGGTCAAAACACATGATTTTTAAGCCTTGTTGTTGAAGTGGATTATGGGTGCTTAGTCAGTAAGATGCATGACTGTGAGCTGAGATGTGACACAAAACGGTGCAACCTTTTATTTAATATCCCAATGTGTTTTGTGTGTGTGTGTGTGGGTCATATGATCCAGTTATTATGACTCTGACCTTTCAGCGTCTGGCTGCTCACCTCACATTCACTGGAGCCGTTCATCTGTACAGAAAGAGCACACATTCATAGTTTTACTGTTATTAATATCTCTATTCACAACAATATTTACACTATGTAGCCATTCTAAGAAACATTAAAATTCCCAAACGTAGGAAGCCATGTATTATCTTTTTATTTATTCACACATTAGTGACAAAGGTTGAAAATATTACACTGGAATATTCATTTTATGAAAGTTTACACTGCTAAAAAAAATATCAGCATAACTATCCACATTGGACCATGCTGGTAGAACAGAAAATGATATTGTATTACATCTAAGGAAGTTTAAAGTTCATCTAAACCCCTCATACGTGTATTTTAGACTTGTCTGCTAATAATGTCTTCTATGTAATTTCACGTAGGCCTATTTGAATAGCATACAGTGTGTGCAGATGATCCAGGCATTCACACATGGTATTTTGTGTTGATGTTCAGGAGAAATGCGGAAATGAAAATGAAAGCAAATGAAAAATACTGAGGTCAAATTCAAATAAAAACACTTTCATAAAAACAACTCAATGAATAAATAATAGGCATTGTTGAAAGCAAATATTCCAGGGCACTTACAATATCTCATAGCAAACCAATTTGCACCATCTGGCATTTGTGACTATTATGCAAGTATGGCTGATAAATAAATAAATAAAAAATAAATAATCAAAGTGACTAAGTGAGAAACATGATATTCCCAAACCCGCTCACAGATGAGAGACACAACGGCCAAGAGCTAAAAAGTCACAACGATCACATGAGGGATTTCTTTGCAGGCGTGAATACTTCAGATTTTTCATGCTTGCTTGCTTTGTATTTAATTATGTGCTGCATGTTGGCACCCTTTCTTTCTTTTTGCTGATCAGTCTAAACATTTCTGGGTTTCAAAAAACCACATACAGTATACTGCCAGATTTAGCATCAAAATTAGTTAAATGTAATTGTAAAATAATCAATTCATTGTAAAAATTTGTTTTGTTTTTTATTTGTATCTTATCATTTTTATTCATTTATATACCAGTTTTAGTTTTTGTATAGGCTAGTATTTTTGTTTTGTTTTGGAATGAAATATAATGGAGCGCCACTAGATGGAGCCACAACAGCAATTTTCCTCAAACAGGAATAAAGCAGTCTGGAGGGAGCGTACTGACAGATTGTGCTGGGTCAAACACTCAAACAGCAATAGAAGCCAATGAAATATGTATAGCTGCCATGTAGAAAATTGTAATACACACAAATATTGATTGAATATGTTTGTTTTGGGGACTGAAGGGCTAGCATTAGCTCCCAGCTAAAACAGAGCACGCTAGCAGACACACGATGGCAGCATGTCGTACAGCTTTCTCATACACCCACACATGTAAAACACATAAAACACACAACAGTCATCCGTCTTCTCGCACGTCCGAGCACAGAATCTGGGTTACATCCTGGGTATCCCAGGAGGCCAAGTGCTCATACATCATTATTGAAACATGCAAGCACACGAGGACAGATCACACACACCTCCAACGCTCTCTAATCTTTCTCTCTCCCCCTCTGGGTTTCGTGTGGGCTTGCCAAGTTACCTCATCCCTCCCTGTGCACATTTATATAGTGCTGTGTTACCAACAGAATGTATAGCGGTGTTCTGCAAACTCTACAGAAATTGCATAGGCTACTGTAAACTGTAGAAGCAATCAAGTTAAATGACTGTTGTCCTTTCCAGCTAAATTCACATGCAGCCTAATAATCCACTTAATAATTTGAAACATTGTGCAATCAGACTGAAAAGCCTTCATGTGGTTTGAGGAGATCATAACTAGCCAAAAAAGCCTCTAACGCCACCCAATCAGTAGGCTATAAGATCAGCAAATCATCTTAGGCTGGTTATGAATCTTGATTTAATCAAGATTAATCTGATTGAAAAATAAGGTGTTGCATATCTTTAAACAATCCGAACAACAACAAAAAACATCTTAAACCAGCCTAAATTTCTTTGCAAGGCAGATCTACGCCAGATTTCGTACCCTTAGAAGAAAAGGTTCTATATAGAACCTTAAAAGGTTCTATCAGCGCTACCTATTTGGAACCCCTAAAAGGTTCTATACACTCTTAAAAAAGGGTTCCTCTGGGTTCTATATAGAACCCTGGGGTTCCATACTTGGCCAATAGAACCTTTTACCAAAAAAATGGTTCTATATAGAACCATTTTGGAGTTCCATATATGAAGCGGGGGATGGAACCATTTCTGGTTCTAAATAGAACCATTTCTTTTAAGAGTGTACTTCCACTCAATTTCAGTTCGCTTCTGTACTCAGTATGAGATAGCGACCTACGTATATCTCAGTTTTCATTCACATTTCACTTTTTGCATGGGCCATGCATTTTGTTCAGAATACACATGACCCAAATCGAATTGTACATTGTCATTCTAACAAAGTTATAAAATAATAGATTTGCAATCTGCATTAGAGTTATTAGACTGATTATATACACACATTTAAATTCCTATTTGATCACTATTTGATCTGAGCTATCAGTCAGTCAACTGAAGGTTATCTATCACCTCATGTGGATCCAAAGCCATGTCTTCAAGGTCAGAGTTGGGAATGAATAGAGGACTAAAAAAAGAGATTGTGAAGGAGGAGAAGTGTTGTAGGTGTTTGGAAGTGTGCCTCTGTGGTGCCCTGGTGGCGATGTCTCCACTGGATGAATCACAATGAGGTGTCGGCTTGTGCTACAGCTCGGGCCCTGAATGTAAGAAGACAGGTTGCTCTTGA